GGGCAGGGGAGAGGGGAAGGTGTTAGACTGACAATGATAAAATCCATTAGGAATTCCTGATGTCACTACACAGGCATATGCACATTCTGCCCTGGGATTTAAATAATTATATGTAGGCCAGCTCGGTGGCTCACGCCTGTAATCCTAGCATTCTGGGAGGCCAAGGTGGGCGGATTGCTCAAGGTCAGGAGTTCGAAACCAGCCTGAGCAAGAGCGAGACCCTGTCTCTACTACAAATAGAAAGAAATTAACTGGCCAACTAATATATATAGAAAAAATTAACCGGGCATGGTGGTGCATGCCTGTAGTCCCAGCTTCTCAGGAGGCTGAGGCAGCAGGATTGCTTGAGCCCAGGAGTCTGAAGTTGCTGTGAGCTAGGCTGATGCCACGGCACTCACTCTAGCCTGGGCAACAGAGTAAGACTTTGTCTCAAAAAAAATCAAAAATTATATGTAGACATATGTAAGGTATCAACAAGTTTTAAAATGTACTATTTTATAATAAATAAGAGAAAAGAATAATGAAGAAAAATACCCGACACTGAATGCTCACTCAAGGCACATATTCTGGTGGGAAAATTGCCATTATGAGGCTGGTCTGTAGTTATTCCAATTAACTACACAAACCTTAAGCTGAGTTTTACAGCGCTTCAGCATTTCACGGTGTCTAGTTGCCAGCGGGGAATCTTTCCATTGGCTTTCATTATTTTTCAAATCTTCTACAGTTCTGAAATCAAAGACTAAAAGTCAGTCAAACAAAGGCAAACAGCTGGATTCATCTGACCCATTCATTCTGCATTTCATTGACTCTCAGACATGATTACTTTTCACACTGTAGCATCTTTAAGATCAGAGTATATCTTAAAATCAATGAAGGCCGGGCGCGGTGGCTCACGCCTGTAATCCTAGCACTCTGGGAGGCCGAGGGCGGATTGCTCAAGGTTGGAGTTCGAAACCAGCCTGAGTGAGACCCTGTATCTACTAAAAATAGAAAAGAAATTAATTGACCAACAAAAATATATACAAAAAAAAAATTAGCCGCATGTGGCACATGCCTGTAGTCCCTGCTACTCAGCTGAGGCAGAAGGATTGCTTGAGCCCCGGAGATTGAGGTTGCTGTGAGCTAGGCTGAGCCACGGCACTCACTCTAGCCTGAGCAAAAAAGTGAGACTCTGTCTCCAAAAAAAAAAAAAAAAAAAAATCAATGGCAAGTTATGGTTTAATTGACAGCATTTTCTTCTTATTGATACCTAAAATAAGGATGTGTCTTAAAATTGAGGGCACCTCAGATTTGATGAAATATGGTAACCTTTTTAGAAGGAAGTACATTTTTCCCTTATTTTTCTGGGAGGGGGAAAAAGTCTCTCATGAAAATTCAAGGTTACTAGGCCTATTCGATTACTTAAAATGAAAGGCTATTTTATTAATGGCATTTCCTTTTTTTCTTTTACAACTGTTGCTCCTTCTGCTCGGAAAGCTCTTCTCTGAGATTATCTTTGTGGCTTGTTCTTTCACTTCCCTGAGGTGTCTGCTCAAATGTCACATGTCAGTGAAGTATAGTCTTTCCTGATCTCCTATGTACTGCATATTTTAAAGAATAGCTCATTTAGTACTATTCCAATCCCTTTCTATCATGACATTTTGTAAGACTAGAAACTGCTAAATCTCTAAAAACTACATTCCCCAGACTCCCTTGCTGCCAGCATTTTTCTCTCTCTCTCTCTCTCTCTTGTATCTTTCTTTCGAGACAGAGTCTTACTCTGTTGCTCAGGCTACAGTGCAGTGGCACCAGCCTAGCTCACAGCAAGCTCAAACTCCTAGGCTCAAGCGATCCTTCTGCCTCAACCTCCCGAGTAGCTGGACTACAGGCATGCGCCAACATCCGGTTAATTTTTTCTATATATTTTTAGTTGGCCAATTAATTTCTACTTATAGTAGAGACGGGGTCTCGTGTTCAGGCTGGTTTAGAACTCCTGACCTTGAGTGATCCACCCGCCTCGACCTCCCAGAATGCTGGGATTACAGGCGTGAGCCACCGTGCCGGCCTGCTGCCAGCATTTCTGTAAGCCCTAGCTTTCACCAAGAGATGAACCCTCATTGAAGGCAGAGTGAATGATGTCACGTGTCAGTTGCATGACTCTTGACACATGCATGGCGGAAGGGTTTTGGCTGAGCCCTGCAGCAGCTTTCTTGTCAGACAGGTTCACAGCCACTCTGGGCTCTCTAGTCCACCCATTCCAATGTCCAATAGACCAACTAGTATCCTACAATCCTCTTTCTACTTATCCAGATAAACTGGATTCTTTGTCTACAACTGAACATGTGCATGGCAGACAGAAGATGCCCCAAGATCCTGTCACATCCTGATCCTTGGATGGAACCTGTGAATATGTGACTTTACATGGCAAAGGGTACTTACAGATGTGATTAACGATATAGAACCTTCAGACGGGAAGATTATCCTGGATTTTTGGGTGGGCCAATAATCTTTTTTTCTTATGCAAGGTGCTCCTTAACTTGCTACCCTCTGGCTCCCACCCCAGCATACGTGCATGTTCTAGCATATCCATTTTTGTATTTGACACAGTGGATCTATGGTAGTGGAAAGATCTCTTTCCTTTGCCCTTCATATTTTTTTATTTTTATTTTTTCTTTTTGAGACAGAGACTTGCTCTGTCACCCAGGCTAGAGTGCAGTGGCATCATCATAGCTCACTACAGTCTCAAATTCCTCAGCTCAAGTGATCTTGCCTCAGCATCCCGAGTAGCCAGGACTACATGCGTGTGCCACCACGCCCAGCTAATTTTAAAAAATTTTTTGTAGAGACGGAGTCTCACCATGTTGCTCAGGCTGGTCTTGAATTCCTGGCCTTAAATGATCCTCCTGCCTCAGCCTCCTAAAGTCCTAGGTATACAGGTGTGAGCCACTGGGTCTGGCCCCTCATTTTTCATTTTTAATTAAAAATGATCTGCTGCACCAAACCTACCACTATGTTGGGTTATTCCTGCTGATGGGACATAGCCAAAAACAAATGCTGGCTTATGTTCTACAGGAAAAGCATATATGGCAAATGTATGCATTTTTCTTCCATTTATGTTTCAATTGTAAAGCTGAATGTGAGCTGGCCCTACTTTCTGCTGATTAGTAGGATGGTATGTGGAAATTTTACCTGACTTAGATTTCTGGTACAAGTTAAGATCTCAGTTTCATTTACTAATAGACTAGATCTCTTCCAGATGTAAAATAAATCAGGGGCCCGTATCTGGGGTCTGTGGCCCCCCTATGCACTCTACAGATGCATAGGGGTCATGAACTCTTGAATCTGTATGTCCGGTGTGCATGCTTGTATGTTCAGTTCTCTCAACAATCCTCTGAGGAAGGAATTCCATCCCTGATGGACAAACATTTTGTTTGAGAGCAGCTCGTAAGCAACCATGCTGGAATTCAGAAGCAGATTGTCTGACTTTTTCCCACGAACCGTCCTGACTCCCAAAGTGCCTCCCCTGTCAACGCCCACCCCAAATCAAGTTATTTACATATGACAGTAAGAACTAACCTTTTTGAGCACTAACTGTGTGCTAGACTTTGAACTCAGTAGTTTGCTTGGCATACCTTTTATTTTTCTCAGGAAAAAGAAAGATCTTGAGACACAGCCTGCATCTCATAGCTAGTTAGAGATGAAGCTCTAAAAACTCTAGAACCTAGATTTCTCCTGGCCCTTTTGCCTGCCCAGTCACACTACGGGGGCTTAGCTACTGGCTAATCTAAGGGTGGGACATACCTGCTTCCACAGAAACTGGTACGGTGCAAGGCCTGTGCTGACGCCGGCTTACTTGACGAGAGCTTCCTGCGAAGATGCCTGAATTTTTATGGCCTTCTCATTCAGCTGCTGCTCCGCATCCTGGACCCTGCATATCCCGAGTGAGTGTGTGCCTTCCTCTGTACCTTGTCTCTGCTCAGCTGGGCTGTGCTGTCTTTACTGTTCTCCGAGTCCATAACTAAAACCAAGACCCTTACCATAGCAAGATTCACTTCTGTTTCCAGGTTGCATTTACTGTGACATGGGTTATATTAGTAGGTGTTTTCCCTGCAGTTACCTACAGTAATAGGTGAAAGTCGGCACCTGTTATTTTAAATTTGACATAGTTTTCTTAAAAATATGCTATAAATTCTTTGATAGAAAAGGAAATTTATAAATTGGTAGCTAAAAGCTGTAGATAACAGAATACTAGGCCCTTCCAAGCACTGGAAGATACCTATCTAATTCATAGAGTGAGCTAAGAATATTGTTGATCACTTCGTCACCAACTGGACATCTCCAGGCAGCCATTTTTATTTTATTTATTATTATTGTTTTACTATTATTACAAAGTGTGAGTCACTGATTTTGGCAAAATTGGCTTAAGCGTTCTGCAAGAGTGTAAAAGGTTATTTAAAATACATGTATACATCTCTGTTGTCTCAGTTTGAGTTGTCCAAAATGACCAAATGTGACCTTTTGATTTCCTTCCCATTTTATTTATTGCATTAACCTTAATAAGAAATCAATAAAAGGAAAAACATTTCACACACAGCCTAGTGTATGAACTATCTTCATTATTCCCTGTTCATTTCTGGTTGTGGTTTCTTTACCTACATACTTTTTATATGGTTGTCTTATAGAATGAGTTTTTTCCCCCAGATAAAATGCTTACTTAATGATAGTATAATATTCCTTGTAGTTTAGCCATAATTTCATTTTGTAAATTGTGCTTTTTTTCTCTTTGACAGTATAACACTGCCTTTAAATTCAGATGTCCCCAAGGTATTTGCAGCATTACCTGAGTTTTATGTAGAAGATGTTGCCGAATTTTTATTTTTTATTGTACAGTAAGTGCCTTTAACATATTACATAGTTTTGATGTTTTTATGCATAATATGTACATGATAATGAACTATATCCAGCCTTGCATTAAAAAAAAAAAAGATATTATGAACATATTGCAAACCTCCATTTTATGCCTGAAATTTTATGTAACTGTTTTAACCGAATGCTGCCTAGAAACTGGAAAAAATAAATCCAACTGTGGCACCAGTCCAATTCCAATAATATCTCAAAGACAGAAGCAGGATTAACAGTGCAGATAATAATGTAGTCTGTGGAAATTAAGTTGAATTTCTAATAGTTGAGTGTGTGTTTCTGAGAAACAGAAGGAACAGTTTATAAATATCTGAATGAACGTCCAAAAGCCAGAAATAATCACATCTATATTTTCTACCATAATTTGTCTCAATTGTAAATTTGGAAAAAGCTGACAAAGGAATGGTGTGAGTTTATAACTGATATTAGAGATTTTTCAGAATTATTTTTCAAATCCTTATTTGGTTTATGAAATTCAGTAAATAAATGAAAAAATAAAATTTAGAAATTTTATTTCTAAAACATTACACATTGTAAGAATTACAGTTGCAATTCCTTGTCACCATGATAGCATTGTTGTGGTAATATTGGCTAGTTGATGTAATAGTATGTTAAGTCTGTTTTGAAAAGTAAAAGTAGTATAGGTTCACGGTCACTATTTCACAAAATATACATCGTGAGAGTTTTGTAACAGAAAAATTCAAAATTAGTATTAATGTAAATGGTGTTTACATAAGAGCCAGCATTAAATGGAGCAAGTTGTATTGCTGCCATAAAAACTACCTTTAAAAAAAGCAGAAATCAGTGGTAACACATGAATTTTGAATGGTGAGAAATTTAAAGGCTGACTAAAATCATGCTTTATTTGTTGAAAAAGTAGCCTTGGCACAGAAAACCAAAGATCACACGTTCTTACTCATGTGGGGACTAAACAAGTTGATCTCATAAAGATAGAGAGGAAGATGATAGATACCAGAGGCTGAGAAGGGTGGGTGGGAGGAGGGATAGAAAGAGGTAGGTTAAAGGGAACAAGCATGACATTAGATAAAAGGTATCAATTCTATTGTTGGACAGCAAAGTAGAGAGACTATAGTTAACAACAAACAACGTGTTGTATGTTTCAAAGTAGCTTGAAGTGAGAATTTGAATTGTTCTCAACAATTAGAAATGAAAAATACTCAGTGATGGATGCCTCAGATTCCTTGACTTTATCTTTACACATTCTGTGCAGGTAACAAAATATCACATGGACCCCATAAATATGTAAAATATTATGTATTAAAAAAATCTTGGAATTCAAGCAACTCAAGTCACCTTTTAAAATTTGTTTTCAGCACAGTAATTGAAAAACCACTTTTTGAAAATTTTTGTTTATGCTTATTCTCATTTTAAGCAGTTTATTAAAATTAAAACAACTCCATCAAAGAAATTTTAAGTCTTTTGGTAGTAAAGATCTTTTGTGAAATTTACCTGTTTTAATCTTTCATTTTTTTAAGCTTTGGTTTATTTTCTAAAACATCATAAGTTAACTCAACATTCTACAGCCAATAAATTTTTGGTTTTAAATCTGTGTAGTTATGATATAAATAGTCACTTTAAAGTCAGCAAATTAAAGGGCATTCAGCGTCTGTGCACCTTGGCCTGTATACCCGGCCTAACTTCACGACACCAGTCTTCACCCAGGTTGAGTTTCTCAGAGATTTATTTCTTGTTCTTCTTGCCTCCATTCAGATACTCACCTCAGGTGCTTTACGAGCCCTGTACTCAGGATATTGTGATGTTCCTTGTCGTGATGTTGTGCAACCAGAACTACATCCGCAATCCATATCTGGTGGCCAAACTGGTAGAAGTCATGTTTATGACCAACCCCTCTGTTCAGCCACGAACCCAGAAGTTTTTTGAAATGATTGAGAATCATCCTCTCGCCACCAAACTGTTGGTACCTTCGCTGATGAAGTTTTATACAGGTAGGTTCCTGGGTGTACATGGTGGCATCTGGTGGTCAGATGTAGGCAAGGTCATCTGAAGCCAGTGGACAAAGTCACTGGAAACCTGGTACCTAATATCTTGACATCTATTTATAAGTGTAACCTATTAGTCTGCTGCCAGCAAAGCATGTACTATTGGCTGTTTTTCCCCTGAGTAGAGGAGATACTACACTGACTGCTCTACATGCTGATCTCTGATTCAGCAACATCCATTAAAAGTCAGATGATTAGCATTGAGACCCAACTGGTATCAACAGCACGAGTTGGTGGTGTTATCTGAGTGAAATTACCTGGTTCATTGTAGCTTTGAATTTACAGCATTAGTTTTGTAACTCTATTCTGTAACCCAGGCTTTCCAAAGTGTGGATAAAGCAAGGAGCTTGTTAGAAATACCTACTCTTAGATTCTACTCAAACTAAGGGAATCAGAATTTCTGGGGGCCTCTGGAAGTCCTCACTCACTCACTAATTCAACACATGTTTATTGAGCTCCTACCATGTGTCACGCACCCTTCTAGGTGCTGGGTTACAGCTGGTAAAAACGACAGCATGTGAGATACTTTGCAAGAAGATCCTCCTCTTCTGGTTGAACTGGTAAAAACGACAGCATGTGAGATACTTTGCAAGAAGATCCTCCTCTTCTGGTTGAATTGTATTCCAAATTTTCATATTTAATTTGGCTTTTGAACTGTTACCCATGGGACATGTTCACCTGTCCTCTACACTGGTAAAAACGACAGCATGTGAGATACTTTGCAAGAAGATACTCCTCTTCTGGTTGAATTGTATTCCAAATTTTCATATTTAATTTGGCTTTTGAACTGTTACCCATGGGACATGTTCACCTGTCCTCTAACAGAGGCTCAAGATTGTACTAAGGGAACATTTTTCTACCAGGCTATATATTCCACAGGAAAGGAAGTGTCTTGTCTGTCTTCTTATCTTCTGTTGAAACTAGCACATTCTGGGCACTCTGAGGTCTTTGGCATTTAATGCAATGTACTCGCCATGTTCTTATAAGAAACACTGGCTGCCCAGAGCACAGACCCTTGCTGTTCACAGTTTTAGGATTTCCGTGTTCACCGTCATCCCTTCTCTGTCAGCCAGGGCCTGCACAAGCTTATTTTGGACCCATGCTGTCATCTCTCTCTTTACTTCTCATGGTCCCACAAACCTGCCAACCTACTTTTCCTTTGTCATTATTATTTTGTGGCATCTAATAAGAGTCTCTCCTTCCTCAGCCTACACGTATCCTCTGAAACGTGTAAAGCAAGTACATGAGCCCTTGAAAGTTTTGTTAACATTCTTACTTTGGCAACAGCAGAGAACACTCCTGGTTAAAAGACACCTCCTTGGGTAACAGTCATTCTCTTTTATCTCTGAGCCCTGCATGGGTCATTCAGGTACATACGGTACATTATGCATGTACAGGTTACTACCAGATGTGGTGCCTCACATGTAGCTGGCTTGGTGGAATTGAAGATAATTCAGAATTTCTTAAAATGATGATGAGGTACCACTTTCACATTTTAAATTTATTTTTAACCTGAAAATACCTAACGCTAACATGTTGCGCTAACTTATAGAGAAGTAACCAACCTGCAAAAATTTGTTTAACCTACCCTGTAGCCAGTGTGCAGAATTAGTGCTAGGAAATTCTCACGAGAATGTAAATTGGTAAAACCTTTCTGGCAAGCGGTTTGGCAATCCACATTAAAAGCTTTGTAAATGTTTATATCAGTCAGGGTCTACTCAGGAAAGCAGAAACATGCCAGTTACTTTAACAGAATTTGGGGAGTGCAGTGGCTCACTCACGCCTATAATCCTAGCACGTTGGGAGGCTGAGACAGGTGGATTCCTTGAGGCCAGGTGTTCAAGATCAAACTGGGCAACATAGCAAGACCCTATCTCTACAAAGTACAAAGAAAATCAGAATGAAAATTTAATATGAGGAACTGGTAAAATAGGTATTAGAAGATTGAAGCAGTAGCATCTATCCTTACAGCTGTGGGGACCAAGGGAAGAGTCTGGGCTTAACTCAGCTACTCTAATGAGGGCTAGGACAGAGCCTGACCCAGACCTCTGCAGAAGGCCCTTGGCCAGCTAGAGCTAGTGTCTCTGAGGGTATATGCAGTGTTGCTAGTTCTAGGGGTACAAGACAAACCTGACAGTTGGAACCAACTGCTACTGCTGGGCAGAAGCCCATTGCTGGCAGCACCAGCAAGGAGTATCAAGTCCCTTGCTACTCCTGCAGTTTTCCAGTTCTCCTGCAGTGCACCCTGTTGGCAACCCTAACAGAGAGAGGGCCGGCCGGCAAAGGAAAACTCTGCAGAGTGCCCCAGAATCACAAAACCAAGTACAAAAAGCCGGGAGACAACAGCTAAATAACCAGCATATACACTGACATGTAAACTTAATGACTAGAAATTTATTGTATGGAAATAATTATAAATGTGCATAACTGTTCATGACAGTATTCATTGAAGCATTATTTATAATGCTGTATAGTGAGAATAATGGAAACAACCTAAATTTCTGTCACTTGTAGATTAATTTATAGTTACAGTTTATACAGTGGAGCTATATGAGCCATGAAAAATAACATATTGTCTATAGTAAGTGGTTAAATAACAAAAAGTAAAGAAAATGCCAAGTAATGAAACAGTATATCTACATTTTTGGTGTGTGTGTGTATATATATATATATATATATAAGGAAAATTTACCGCATGGTTGGCGCATGGCCTGTAGTCCGCAAGGTTACTCAGCGAGACTTGAGGCAGCGCGTTGCTTGATCCTAAGGATTGGAGGTTGCTGTGAGCTAGGCTGTGCCACGGCATCACTCTAGGCTAGGCCAACAAATGAAGACCTGGGTCTAAAAAAAAAAAAAAAAACAACTGTCAAAAGTCAGGGACTGGGGGATCACAAGCAAAGAATGCAGGTACCTGGAATCTGGAAAAGGTTATATTCTCTTCTGGACCTCCAAGGGGAAGGAAGATCCCTGCTGAAAAGATGTATGTTGACCTACACTGTTAGACTTCTGACTCCAGAACTCTCAGGACAATGATTGCTGTTATTTCAAGGCACTAAGTGTAGTACTGTTACAACAGCAATAGAATTAATATAACGATACTGCAAACTGCCTTTTTATCTTCGATAGTGTTACTTCTGCATTGTGCTTTGTAAGTTGGGCTAAGGAGGCAGTCCTTGATCTAGTTGGTGCGTTTGCGAAGCAAAGAAGGGATGATTGGGGTAGAACCTAAGGGAAGAGGCATTGCCGTTTGCCAACGGTGACCACTCAGGTAAGACTTACAAAAGCTGCTTCTGCTAGCCAAGAAGGCTCAGGGGGTTTGAGATTTGGGGTACTTGGAATTATCCAATTCTCCAAACTTTCCTCCATTGAACTTTTTGGGTCGCAGTCTTTACCCTCACTTTTCGATAAGAGCCCAGTTATTAATTAGCCCTGTTTATGATTTTGGTGGTGTGGAGGACCAGCATACTCTGGTAGTCTTTGAACTGGTCATGCTTTCCTTCAGGTGGGGAATTTAAAATCTTTGAAACTGGTCCACTTTTTTTCTATCAGTTCTCAACATAATTAGAAATAGCCATTCATCTTCATTCTAGGGAGATCACAAGTGTCATTGTATATGGCTGTTTTCTTATCAGAAGCCGTGGGCTACCAGTATCTATCTCACACTCACTGATCTTACATTTCAGACAGCCAACTTGAAGAATGATTCCAGAGCCTCCTTTTTTTCACGGAGGGTGATTAGCCTATAAGCACTCTTTTGTGCCACAGTAAGGTGTGTAGATCATTATATTACTTTCTTCTATGCTGCTTTGATAAATCGCCAAACCTTGAGGACTAAACAGTTACAAATTATTATCTGTTCTGGAGATCAGAAGTCCTAAATCACGGTTACTTCCTTTTGAGTCTTTAGAGGAGAATCGTTTTCCTTGCGTTTTCAGCTTCTAGACGGCCACTCATTCTTGGCTTGGCCCTCCTTATCATTTTCAACCGGCGGCTAGCATTATCAGATTCCTCTCTCTGGCTCTGCTCTCTGGTCACGTCTCCTCCTGACGACTCTTATCCCGTTTCTCTTAGAAGGCTTTGTGGATATATGGGGGGCCACCCAAAATCCAGGATATCTTTCCCGTCGGGAAGGTTATATCGGTTTTAATCCTCTTGGTACCTTTGCCAATGAAAGTCACATATTCACAGGTTCCATCCAGCAAGGATCAGGATGTGACAGGATCTTGGGGGCATCTTCTGTCTGCCATTGCACATGTTTCAGTTGTAGGACAAAGAATCAGTTTATCTGGGCATAAGTAGAAAGAGGCATTGTATGATACTTAGTTGGTCTATGGTCATGGGAAACTGGGGGGTTGGACTAGAGGATGCAGAGTGGACTGTGAACCTGTTGATCAAGGAAAGCTGTGCAGGGCTCAGCAAAACGCCTTCCGCCAGCATGTGTCAAGAGTCATGAACTGCACGTGAATCATTACTGCTGCCTTAATGAGGGTTCATCCTGGTGAAGGCTAGGGTTACAGAAATTGCGGCAGGACAGGCCGGCACGGTGGCTCCGCTGTAATGCCAGCATTCTGGGTGGAGTGTCGAGGCGGGCTGGATCATCAAGGTCAGGAGGTCTAACAGCCTGACACGAGACCCGTTCTATATAAGTAGAAATTAAATTGCCAACTAAAGTATTAGAAAAAATGTAACGGGATGTTGGCGCAATGGCTGTAGTCCGGCCACTCGGGGGGGTTGAGGCAGAAGATCGCTTTGGCCTAGGGTTTGAGGCTTGCTGTGGAAGCTGGCTGCGTGCCACTGCACTTAGCCTGAGCAACAGAGTAGACTCTGTCTCGAAAAAGAAAGATACACAGAGGGGAGAGGAGGGAGAGAGAAATGCTGGCAGGCCAAGGGAGTCTGGGGAATGTAGTTTTTATGAGATTTTAGCAGGGTTTCTGTCTTACAAAATG